GCAGCTGCCAGGCGCGCGCTCCAGTTCAAAGTGAAAAGACCGAAATGTCCAGACTACCCCGCTCCCCTCCCGCGCAAAAGAAGTGCCACGGGATCCGTCACTCGGACGTGKTGTGCCCTGCGCAGGAGCTGGGCTCTTCTCTGCTAAGCTGTGCTCCTAGTGAGGCTGGACCTGCCTGGTGGAGCCCTTAGCTAAAGGGCCTTCGCCTCGAGCTGGCTCCTGAGGGGATGGAGCTGAAGCAGCCCCGCTTGTCTTGGGTACGGAGCCTGAGGCAAAATCTTTCAGAGCCACCATTCTCCCCCCTGGAAATGTGAGCTGAGGGCAGCGGCACCTCTTGTCATCCTGAGGGGACCGGTGGGACTCGGTACGGCAGCTCATGGCGGGATTGTGTCCAAACAGGACCTGTGGTGGGGAGCTGCTGKCCCCCCACCTGCCTCAGCTCCCCTGCTCCGAGGCAGCTGTGCAGGGAGCAGCCCACCCCTCTCCCCAGCATCTCCCTGGCATCAAGGCAGACCATATCTGCTTGTATTCGCCAGTGTYTGCATGGGAGTTTTTCCTGTTTGTGCTGTTGAGATTCCTGCATCCATTTGGACTGWCAGGCCTGAGGTGGAAGCACGTTTCTCTTTTGAGCTGGCTTTTGCAGACGACACTATTTTTAAGACGACACTTTTATTCAAGAATGCTGAATGACGAAGCTCTGGRCATTTGTTTGGATATTTTAAATCAGGTGCTTGAGTCAACAATCTACAACTTGAGCCTTTCCCTGAATGCCTGGCTCTGTTTAAGCTACACAGTTTTTCAAGGTGAAGACCGAGTTTCTCATTGCCAGGGTTTGCTAGATCTCCCACAGTTGTGTCCGTGCTGGGAGGTACCGGGAGCGGGATGTAATCCGGTCCCAGGGCAGGCAAGCCAAGCCTGGCTCTGCTCGCATGGCCGAGGATCTCCGTGACCCAGCTTGCAGAATGCAGTACATGTAATGGAGCAGATCTGCATCCCAGCCTTACCACTAACTCCACAGTTGCAAACGCTTTCCATATTGGGAACTTCCTCACTGTACTACAAAAAATCAAAGCTACYACATCTTCTTAAAGAAAAATATTAATTATAAGGCCAGATCTTCGCTCTAGGAAAAATGACAGTGACGTCAACAGGGATTTTGCCAACGAATAGGGTCAAGATCAGGTCCATCTGACCCTAAGCATGGTTTCCCCATGAGTACTATGTGGGCTGCTTGAAGGGGCTTTCAAACTGCTTTGCATGCTGTGTTTGGATTCCTTTCCTGGCCTCCAGAAGAAAGAGAGCAATCTCCTACCAATAGTATCARGATGAGTGACTTTTACAGAAGGCAAAAGAGAGATTTGCATGCTACTCCCTGAAATTTTTCAAACAGGTAAAAAACACAGAGAGGCGGGATGGGTTTTCATTCATGAAAGTTGTAGTTTCTACAAAAGAAGCACATTCAGTTTCCAGGAAGGGCTTTTTTTTTTTTTTTTTTCTTTTTTTTTTTTGCCCACAGGGTAGCACTTCACTGCTGTGAAGGATCTTACCGTGAGAGCACTGACCKTGACCTGTGTCCACACCGGACTTTGGTGGTTGGATGCAACGTGGCAGTAGCAAGGCGTGCGCTGCTCGCTAGGCACTGACCCCTCAAATTGCTTCCCAACCCTGTCCCACCCCTTGGAAAAGCAGCACCTGGGCCCTCAGCTTCTCTCCTCAGCATTGCTGGTGTGACAACCCAAGCCCACAAGCACAGCGAGGAGAGGGCCASGCTCCAGGTGCCCACGCAACTCACGGGCAGACACTTCTTACTCCCTAAGACGCCTCAGAGCTCACCACCAACTCATACCCGGGCATATTGTGCCTCCAGGTTGTTCAACAGCTGCTGTGTGTGACCCAGCTCCCACCTAAAATGACATCTGAAGAAGGAAGGGTTGTGCAGCCCTTGTCACAATAGTTGTGGCACCATGAGAGCTAATGCCAGTCACAATATAGGACCTTCTCTGTTATAAACCACTTATAAACTACAGAGACCCGATGGTCTCTTGATGCTGTAGCAGGAGGACAGCTGCATTTGTTCACAGCTGTATGTGGCAGTGCCATTTTTAATGTGATACTGCAGCGTTTGACATCCTGAGTGTCTTTGACTWGGTCTATCCTCTTTCCTCCTTCCTCCTCTTTCCCAAATCTTTTGCAAAGTAGTGTTGGAACAGAGGGGCCTTGGCAGAAGTACGAAGATTGTAGATAGTAGGAATATCTCCCCTGGCATGACTCAATATCTCAAATACTGAAAAAGACATCTGAGATGTCTGTAAGACGATGTGAGACCGTGTTTAATCATGGGTGCCGTGCTGTGAGGTAGGGTGATTACCCTCATTGATAATATATGGATCAAAGAACCCAAGGCAGGAATAAACAAACATCTCTGGCACCGGGTAAGTCTCCCACTAGCCGAAAGTCAGGTGTGAGTGGAGGGGGGATTGCCTGTTTTACAGCTGCTTCCCTGAACTCAACCCTGATGTTGCAAGAATCTCCTAGCTGTGAAAACATGGCCTCGCCTTGATTTATGCCACTTGTGGGTAAGATGACTAAGTTAAAAAAAAAAAAAAGAAAAAAGACAGAACAAGAACAGGAATCCCAGTGGGAGCGCGATGCGGGTGTGTACCAATTTGATGAGACAGGCAGGTTGTGAAAACTTMAGCCAAATTTCCAGGCGGTAGAAAGAGGAGACCACAAACCACATGATATCTATCACAATGTTCCACCTAAGACTCAAAAGCATGCCACAAACTTTTATGAAGACTCTTGTTAACAGCAAGGGAAATTAATTCTTTTGTGTAATTTTAACATTTTTTTCTCCTTCAGATGAGTTCCATATGTCCTTGTGATTTTTTCCTTTAAACACAGCAGTTTAAAATGAAACAAGTAACATTTAGCTTGCTTCTAAAGCAAATATTTACAAAAACATAAAATAATGGCTCTGATCTTTGGAAAATGTATACTACTCCCTACCTGCTACTGTTTTGCTTGTAGCTGGAGTAACAGAGATGCTGTGTAATAAACCCCAGGGCTGTAAACACAGCATAACAGTGTGATTAGCAGTAATCAGATGGAATTCTAGCTATTAAATACTCTGCAGAAATAAGAAGGATAAACTGAAAGGGAAGGCTACAGTATTTTGTTTTTACAAATTTCAAGAAATCTCATGGAGGAATAGACTTTTAATCTTGGAAAAGTATAGGAGCATAGTGGTATTAGCTAATGCTTATGTCATGTATCATCTTCAAAGGGCTCTACGAAATAAATACTAATCATTTTACCGACCACTTAAAGGCAACCACTTGAGGGGTGTGGTGAGGCAGCAACTTAGCAAGTAAGTTGCATTAAGACAGGAAGTGAAGATAGCCAAATTCAAGAAGTTGGTGTGGGTACAAAAATTTGTGGAGGCTTTAATAGTTTCTAATCAAGCAAGCTACCTCATGGAATTGGGGGCAAGTTACATCTTATTGAGAAACTGGCACTGGAACTTCTAATTACAGCGAGTTTTGAACAGGTAAAGAGGGATATTAGTAGATCTTAGAGGAAACAGCTTGTGAGGGATCAGTATTTGCAGGAGGCAACAGGAGGTAAAACTTTTTTTTTTTTTTTTTTTGTCAGAACATGTTCCTTTAATCTCTTCCTATATTCTTGCCTTCCTCCCAGGAAAAAATACAGTATTGTTGGCCTGTGCCATATCAATAATTTTCAGTCTCTGCCACTATGTATTTGGTTTTGAAGACTTTAAAAGCAGCCAGTGGATTTCAATCTCTTTTTTTTGTTGTTGTTGTTGTTGTTGTTTTTTGTTGGGTTTTTTTTTTTTWTTTTTTTGTTTCTCCTTGGTAGAAATAGATGTTTGGCCCACTGACTGCCAAAACCTGCCCTGTGTTAGAACCCAGCATTTCCTTCTCCATTCCCCATGAATGAAGCTGAAGATGTCTTCTGCTCCCTGCAGGGATGGCAAACAAGAACCACTCCTGTTGTACTCTGGAGATCATTGAATAATTTTGTTTGAAAGGGACCTTGGGAAATCTCTGGTTCTACCACCCATGCCCACAGCAAGATTAACAGCTATGTTAGATCATGTTACTCAGGTCTAAATAAGATACTAATTAGACTTCTCTGCTTTCTTGTGGACATATGCCTTTATAAATAACTGTCCTGGACTCAAAAAGTAGCAAGCCTAAAATCATGCTGTAACCTGTATCTGCCATGACACCTGTGCTGTGGTGTGTCTGGCAAATACAGATTTTTCATACAACAGACTGATTTTGACTCTAGCAGTTGTATTCTCATGTAACTCCATTTTTCGGTTGTATAATTCATGATTCAAAACGTGCAGTTGTCAGAGGAACAAGTCTCTACTCACTTAAGGCTGTCACACTGAAATTGTTTAGTTATCACTACTCTTTTAACATGTTTTTTTTTCGTCTTTTTGTGTGCGTTGCAAGCAATACCATGTAGTCATTGTAATCGGTCTTATTTTTCCTTGCCTGCTTGTCCTTTCATGTCCAAATCAGTGTCATTTGTCTCTGTTTCAGGGACAACCAATCTGATTCTTAAAGCAAATCTTCCCTTTATCCTAACACCCTCCCTTCCAAGGACTAGGTATGAATTTTGCAGCCCAAGAGCATTAATAGCTTGTATTACACTTTGCAAAGTCTCACCTTGTGCTGTGGCCTCTGCAATGACAGACCACATCCTGCCTAGGACTAGGCGTGTAAATACACTGAAGAAAACCGCTCCCAGCGTCCGACTCCGGGATGCATTCTCCCTCTGTAGAAAGTTTAGTCTGAGTATGTGTGTGTATATAAAGTTACATATGCACATGCCTAGGAAGGTGTATGTATCTGTGTGTGTGTCTGTTTATGTATATTGTATGTGTTTATATATATATATGTATAAGGTATGTGTGTCTATACATACACAAAATGATGAGATGGGAGAGAGTTGTTAATGCTCCATTATATGTTTTTCAACTCTTTTTTTCCCCCATTTTCTGAAAGATATACTGGAATTGTGCCCATGAAAGGAGAAGAAGCCTGTCCTTCTGTCCTTTTCTACTGTAGGTATTTTTGTATCCTAGATCTCTGAGATCTACTTTCGGGTACATAAGCCCTTGCATTCGATTCCAGCTATTCAATCCCTAAAATACCTTAAATCAGAAAGACTAGGAAAAAGCATCTGAAAGAAACTAACACACCCAGACTGGGGTAATCTCACTGCTGCRTATCAAAAGCTGCAATTGTTGCTTTAATACAATTAGATTTTGTCTTCACAGCCTTGTAAGCAGAGAGATTTCGTCCTGTTCAGCATAGTTCAGTGTGTGGTTCCAGTAGCACCACTTCAATTCCTAAACAGTCCAAAATGTTTGGAAAGTGATTGTGAGCTCAACTGCTCCAGAGTCATTTAAATGYTCCACTTTTTATTGTCACTTACTATGTTTCTTCCCCCTGGCTTCCAGATTGCCATCAGTTTCTACACCCTTGGTATCATTACCTGTAGTTTAGTGTGTATTAGTGAGAAGCCTAAGCAGAGTTTCATCAGGAGGATGAGTCTTTATTACAGATAAATCACATATCTGAGAGAAAACTGCTGAGAAAAGAGGCTACACATGACTGACATTCTCCTAATCTGGAGCAGTATATTCCAAGGAAATGCCGTAACTCAGTGCATGTTTCCRAAACAGCTGATTTACCAAAAGCATTCAGGGTGTTTGAATACACAGAGTGCACATACACAAAATGTGCCAGTATTTTGGTGATCTGCTTTTAAAAATGACTGCTTTTTTCTTTTGGAGATGGTGGAATATGGTTTGCATCTGTTGCGTGTGTATGGGCCTGCTCCTTATTAAACTTATGGCCCTTTTTTTCCAGTAACCACTTCAGTGCTGTGAATCAACATTACTGGATCAGAAAAACAACATCTGTTGATTGGATAAACAAAAGTCTTGTTAGCTAGAAGTTTAATAGATCACAAAGTATCACCAAGTCTGTTTCTATGTTAATAAATTTCACCATGGGATATTTTCTGATGTCTCATGACAAAACTGGCCTAAGTAAATCAGAGCTTAAGTATTTTCCATTATTTATCTTGGTGTTTTGTGAGCTTAACAATAGAAATTGGCCAGGATTTGGTCTTCCCTATTTTCTGTGTACCATTACCTTTGTGTTTAGCTTCATGAATCTTYAATGAGTAGATTTAGAAGGGATCTTCTCTGGCCTGACTCGAGTTGGATCAGATGGACCTCTGCCATCCCAAACAGTTGCCCATCTTGCTTTGGGATTGGGGCTATGGCTAGAGCTCAGTAATAGGCGAAAACTTCATTTCATCTAGACTGTGCCCAAATAATTCTTTCCCATAATATTCCATTCTTCTCCTGCTGATCTAGTCTGCTATTAAAAATCTCTTTGGTGGAGACTTAAYGTATTAGCAAATATAGCTCAAGTCCATACTTCATCCCCTGTTCTCAATCTCCTGGGCAGAAGATGGGGTGAATTCTAAGAAAGTTCATTGAGCAACAGTCATTCTCTCCTCTTGGGCTATGGAATTGCCCAGAAATGATCTAGTTGATCATCCCATGAAGGTGATGGACCCTTCAGCTGTCAAGTTTTGCTAGGAGGCCTCCATGACTTCAAAAAGGGGAATCCCTGCTGTATCAAATCAAGCACAGACAAAGCTTTTAAGAGTATAGTCAAATCCAACATTTGTGCTAAGTGAGATTATGGGCAAGACTATACTAGATTAGTCACTGGCATGGAGTGAGTGATACTATCCGGCTACGTCTTGCGAGGCCACCAGGGACCTGTTTGGATCTGATCATCTGCAGACCATCTTTCAATAGCAGCTGAGAGCAAAGTGTTGTATGGRAATACTTGATCAGAGTATGATCTTCTGTGTTATCTTAAGGCCTATTTATCCCATCACTAAACATAATTTTCCCATTTTTAAGAAGCTTCTATAGAGGGGGGGATATATGTGTRTGGTTCACCCACACACATACTGTGGCAAAATAGACTCCTGTTTGCTTCTTTCTTTCACTGGAAATAACTTTTCCTGGTTTGACTAAAATATATAAATGTGCCTAATCATGAGAATGAAGCTTTAGCAATTCAGGTCCTAGTAATATTCCTTTCAAAGCAGTTTTTATTTGAGCATGTATTTAGGCTGTACTTAGAAGCTACTCATGTCTTGAAATCACACTGTGGGCATCCAGTGCAAGTTATATGGGAGAGTTAATAAAACAGTGATGCTGTGCTCTGCTAAAGCACATCACAACTTATGTATCTCTTCTTCTCTCTTCTGAGTGATTGTTGAAGGATTGTCAAGCTCTTTTCTTTAAAAGCAAAGAAAAAATCCAACTGAGAAAAATGACAAAAGTTGGCAAGAAGACCAAGCTCTACCTACTTTTTCTGAAGCCTGATCTGATTTCATACAGAAGCAGACCTTGCAGGTAATGAAAAATCTGAGTTTTCTGAGCATGTCCTTTCCTTGAATATATTCCTTTAAATGCCCATTGTAGCATATACCTYTTTCATGTTTGCTATTGTTTGAAAAAAAAAACAAAACAATTGATTATATATGTATTTTTATGACTCATATATGCATTTTTGTCAAAATCAGAGAGCAATAGCTGCAGGAAACCCAGAAGTTTGCAGAGGGAATAAAAGACTTTCCAGAAGCAAGAAGTTATGACTATTTGAATCTCATTGGGATGATGTGCATTAGAAACATCAGTCATACTTCTTGTTGTCGTTGCTAACTTACACAGAGAAAATGCCTTTCATAGATGAAAAATGTTTTGCTTATTCACAAGCCCCATAGAAATAAACATTATTTTAAATGTATGTATTGCTAGCAGCAAGGATTTTATTTTTCATGCCATGTGCCAAACTTTCATTAGTCAAAGTGTGAAAAATCCCATTTGCTGTGTTTTGAAGAGTTCGTGCTGAAAGCATTTAAAGAGTAATTCACTGATCTTTCAATCACAGGAGAAAGGATCACCCTGGGAGCTGGCCAACCACATGGGATTCAGGGGATGTGTTTCAATTCTCAGCTTTGTAACCCGTCCTTTGCTTGACTTTGGGCAAATTGCTTCAACTGTCCGCACCTTGGATCCGCAATGACAAGGATCAGGCTTTCAAATCATAAATTTGTTCAGTAGAATAAACTTACTATATCTCAGATACTAATGTACTGCTAGACACGTGTTCAGACTCTTCACATTTGCCTAACATACAGACAAATGGATGCAAGTCTGGGTCTGAAAATAGGTTTTGGAAAAGTTCCAGAACACAAACAGTGTGAAYCCTTATTTCACTAAAACTAGCAAAAGCTTTTCTGTGTGCTTGGGTACCTGCATGCTCCAGTCACTGCAGGCTGCAGTCACTGCATCCTAACCCTACCTCCCCTTGGAGCAGATTCAGAGAGATAAGACCACTACGATGTCCTCTCTAAATGAAGTCACTGTGAAGGAGAGGCTGTAAAGGGTCATGTGATGACTAGAGCCGCCCTCAAAATGGATTTCACTTARTGGATTTACTTCCATGAAGCCATGCAGATGTATCCATGAAAATATAAATTGAACATGAGTTTGAAATGTTCACCTGTGCAAATGAATTCTGTCTAGTGTCTATTATTCTGCTGTATAAAATCAGAAGAACATAAAGGCCAACATAAGTAAGATCAAAACCACTGCTTATTCAGATGGAAAGTATTGCTTAAGTCCCTAGAGTTACATGAACTCAACCTAGGAGTTTATGTTCCTTCTTAGAAATAGTGCTGCCAAGTTCTGGACAGAATTTACAGAACAAATCTGTCACCATTGTAATTCATTGCAAATGGGAACAAAGTTTATCAACTAAATTATAGATGATGCAGTCTTGTATCAGTTCTTTAAGTGCCCTTTTTTTGGCTTCTTTTTGTGTTCCTTCTCTGCCCTCGTTGAGATGCCCAGTGAAAGACTTAACTACATTTTCACCGTCTTGTGAGGCACCGATGATAAAGCAAATGAAATATTATTCTTTCTGAGTAGTAAATTTATGGCAGGCAATAACAAGTCCATGAGAATTTATATGGCCTTTTGCCAAAGAAACCAAGCATTGAATCTGTATGCTGAAAAATGTACGCATGTCTGTTCCGGTGTTTAAGGAGCTGTGGGAAATCCATTTTTTCTTTGAAAAGACAAGAAAGTACTCTAGATCACCTATGACCTTCTTTTTAAAGCACAGCCTGAAAGTCATCAGAAGGTTAAAGCTTTATAAAGAGTTTCCAATGTTTTATAGCACTATTCCCCTATGCCTCCAAGGTATCTTAGAAGATGAAGGCATGAAAGAATGCACAGTGCCATCAAAAGTGCTGGCTTCCCTTTACATCTGCATAAGGATGGCCTTTCTTGAGACACAGTGTCACTCTGTCCCCTGAGACAAGGACAACAGGCTTCATCGCATCCTGAAGATGCCAGAGCCAGCATGGAATATAGGAAGATCTTCCATTAGAACTGAAGCAACATATTTCATCTCTTGTCAAGTTAAGCTGCACCTGGTTTTCCGCAGAACCTGCTCATTATCTGTTTACATGTCAAGAACTGTCAACTTGCTGTCTTTTCCTCAGAAACTCCCCACAAAAATGTGTTATCCTTCTGGTAATCTACATGGTCTCTAGCTAACCACTCTTGGATTTCTTCAACTCCTGCCATTCTCCTTGGTTGCCTCTTTTGTGCCCTGACCTTATTTATAAAATGATAAATTTCCCTAATGAAATCTGTCCCAGAACCCATTGAGATCTCCTCCTTCAGTCTGGTCTCTGTGTCCTGAGAAACCTCTTGGGATTGATTTGCTTCCACAGAATGTTTTTCCTGTGTGTCACCCAGGTAGATCAGACCTCCATGGCTCAGTGGTTGACGAGAACCTACCAGATCTCCAGAGTGGCATTTCCCAGTTGTGAATCATGTCTCTTGCTGAGATCACTTTAATATTTTTGATAAATCTTGCCATGTCTTTACCAGTCCTCATTTGGCTATGCATGTGGAAGTCTTCAGACATGTTTGCAGTCGGATGCTAGCCATGTTTTCAATCAGCACAATCCAGTTTTAAATTATAGTTCTAAGAGCTTTTCCGGCTGTGCTGTCAAGCCTGGTTCTAAAAAAAAAAAAAAAAAAGAAAAACAAAACAAAACAAAAAAAAAGCAACTCAAGCTCCAAACCAATGTGCTTTATGGCTTTATGGAGAAGAAGGGAGTAAAAGTGGCATCCATTCTGGGAAGGAAGAAGCAAGAATAACAAGATCTGGCGCCTTGGCCTGTGTTTGCTCTTAACGATGTGTCTGCATCTTCATGTGCTCTGTGTCCTTTGGTAACGCTGCCCTTTCCGTGCCACATCGTGGATCATCAGATGAGGAAGCTTGGCCCAAAATAAACGCCAGGCTGCTTTTCATCTCCGGGATTTGTTTGTGCCAAGCGAGCAAAGTGACTTCTTTGTGGCTGTTTGCATTTGTCGTTCCAAGTTGTCTGAGCACTAGGTTATAAATACACACCGGGGATTGATAGCCTCAATATGTCCAGTCAGACAGGCTTTACATGCTGGCAAGAAAAGAATCTTGGCTTGCCGTAATTATTTTTGTTTTAATACTCTAAAATGTTTTATATAAATCAAGGATACCATAAATACAACTTTTTTTTTTTCTCTCCCTCATCCATTTGGTAGACTGGATTTCTGACCAATAACTGAAGGTGAATTTTTCCACTCAATAGTTGCATTATTTAGTCGTGTGTGTAAAGGGGCACTATCAAGTTAGTCATATAATTTAAAGCTATTGACATTTTCAGATTTTTTAATATGAAAATTAAGTCAGAATTCTATTAAGTTACCTCTTTATAGAGGAGATATGAGATAAAAGAGGAATGCAAGAGACTGAGCTATGTCTAAGAGTGCTAATGATAAGGCACGACCCTATGGTCCTGGGCCCCTGACAGAAGGAAAGCCTGTTAATCAAGTCGGGGCTAAATCCTGTGTCTGTGTGAACTCTTAGCCAAATTCTGACTATTTCATCAGGGAATGTTCAACCTACTGGTCTYGATTTTTTTCTGTGCCCCTAACCCCCACCATTGGAAAACAACTGGAAAAAAATGACTCTTTGGGAATTTAATTTGTTTGGAAAACATTTTATTTTTATATCCAAATCTTCCTGTCTGTGTAGGGTTTTCCATTTACTTTTAGCAAAGACTATTTTTCACTAATATTCTCATCCAAAATTCTTATTAAGAAACTGAATGCTTTTACCAAAAATGGGTATCTTTTCCTTCTCCATCACCCTTTCTGCATACACAGCATCCTCCAAACCCCCCAAAACCAGCTGATTGAAAGAAAGCATATTTCTTTTCAAAATTCCCCATGGATATGATTTTGTTGTGGTTACGTCTGTGCTGCCTCTGTTCCACTTGGAGCTRAAAGAAAATTCTTTGCAAACTGTATCAGACAGTGCATCTTTACAGTCCAAGTGAGGTCCTGAACATCTCATCATTCATTTAGACAATAAGCCAGTAACCATAATCATGCTCACTGGCTTATTCGTGTCGTGTGTCCTGAAATAGGTGCACACAGTGGTTTGAAAGCTGCAGGTCAAGGATCTTAAGGTGCAGGAATTAAGTTCTTCTTGGATGCAGAGGCATATTATTCTTTCTATGTGTATATGCACATTTTTTTAATATATAACCATATATATATATATATGCATGTTTGTAAGTGAAAGATGAYGGCATAAGTTTTTTGTGCCTGTTTTTAGCCTTGTCTTGAAACCAGGTTCAATCTGAGAACAGTAGCCAACCTCAGCAGGGTTGACTGGACCCAAGTGAGGTTTATGCAGCTGTTAATTGGTTTCCCTTTCTGATTCTGATGCAAGAAGAGAATATAGTGCCYTGAACAGGCAGGACAGCAAGGAAAAATATATCTATGTCTACCTGGACTGAGCTGGCCTGCTCCAGTCTTCTCCCGTCGTTTTAATGTAGAGTCAAATAGCCTTCACAGATTCTAGGCCACATGTAAAATATTTAAAAGGAAATAGATGCTTGTACCTGTGTCGCGCTGTAAATTCAGTCTGCAATAGTGGGCCTCGTACTTGCACTTATCTGTGTGTGTGTAAGTTAGGAGGCGTATGATATAAATTGAGGTCTGATTTTTTTTTTTTCTTTGAAGCTATTAACACCCACCCACAAGCAACAGGAAACAGACTTCAACTTTAATTAGTACCAACACATTCAAAATTCACCCTATATTTGCCTTCAAGTGCAGCAAAGCAGCTTCAAAGCTAAAAGCTTCTTCACTTTCTAAGTAATAATGAGGTATTAATGAGGCAATTAGGGGCTTGTAAACATAGTGTCAAAGAGATATGAACTAATCACCAGGAACAGGAAAAAGACAGATCCCTCTGACTTCAGTGCTCTGTGCTCTCCCTAGCCCCCTGAGGCATTCTGTGCTTGTAAACTAATCCACAAAAATGTTCTAGATTAATTCAAAACACTATCCTCCTTTTAATTCCCTGACTGTCTTCAGGCTTGTTTCTGAATAGATGCTCTGTGTGAAGACTTTTAAATGTGCACTTTTGTTATTGCAATAAAACCCAGATTGAAGTTCTTAGTTGCACTAAGCTGTCAATTTATATTTGGCTCCCTTCTTAGATACATATGAAATATTTTTAAATCATTTGTTAGGATATTTCTCCTAGTTTATTTCCATTTAGACTATTTTAATTTGAGAAATAAAGCGTGTAATTTAATTAGAACTGACAAAAAAAAACACTTTTTTTGAATGTAAAATGTTACTGTTGAAAATGAAGGATTAAATCCACAAGTTAAATCATGGAATGATGCGGATAGGGACAGATTTGTTAGCTTGAGTGCTGGGCTAGGATTCAGAAGATCCTGGTTCTGATCATACTAATTTGCTGGGTGATTATTATGAGAGTTGCATTTACAATTTTGTTTTAATTGTAGCAATAATGCTTAAATGATCTATGTACTGCCTAAAATCAACTTGTCATGCTATGCACTGCTTCTAAGGTACAAGTCATAATGGATTTGTCCACAGTAATGTGTATTAAACATAGTCCCACTATGCAAGTTGTTCCTATTGGAATAAGCAATTCCAAAGAGCTTTTGCTTTCTTAAATACCTTTTTTTTTTTTTAAGAAATATAGAAAAAATATCTCAGATATTCACAGGATGCTGGAGCCATAAGCATTAGGAAAAGCATAGACTAAAATAACTTTCTGATCTGGGAGAGTAGGAACGTAAGTTTGCAGCATTCCAGATATATGAGCTTCAAACTGTGATGTGGCAGTTAAAATTCTGACCTTGTACTGCCCCTTGCCTTGAATTATCACCATAGTTGCTATTCCTCCATGACCCAAAGTACTTCTGATTTGGGAGTATGTACAGTTGTCTCCTGGAAATTAGGGCGAAACTCCATATCCTTTCTCTGTGTCATTCCATTGCCGTTGGTGTTCTAAGGTTGAAAGGTGAGTTCRCTAAAACAGCTGACTGTGAAAAAATATTTTGAAACGTAACACCCTGTGGTTTGATCCTGCATTCTTACAGGTATATGCTGAAAATCACTTGGTTGAAGTCAGTA